CCATAGACTTCTCCTCGTGGCCCTAACTATCGCCAAGAAAACTATCCTCATGAACTGGAAATCAAAAATCACCATACATCTAGCTCACTGGAAGAACTTACTCATTGACTACAGCTCCATGGAATATAAATCCTCCCTTTTCAGTAGCACAACAGAACCCCAATCCTCCTGGTCCAACCTCATCGATTTCTTAACATCTTATGTTCTATCTGACCGATTTTTCTTGTCTGAGAGCCAATCATCCATATCTGCACATAATCCACCCATCATCATGATGATCATCAATATTCTTGGAATATCTTCTTCATAAAAAACACACGCTCACACACACACACGCACAAGGATACACTCAAAAGCACATTCTTAATTTTCTTGTTCTTTTTTTTTCTATTATTATTATTATTATTATTGTTATTATTATTATTATTATTTTTATCATTTTTCTATTATAATTAGATAATCATTAGGGAATGGGAGGAGAGAGGATGAGGGATAACAAATATAATTCAGCCTATCTTACTATATAATGACGAAAACTGTCTGTGGGTGTGTCTGTCTGTGTGTCTGTTCCACGTTTTTCTCCTCACTGACTTGGTCAATCCATGTGAAATTTGGCACAGTGGTAGAAGGTAATGGGAGGAACTTCCGGTTATATATATTTTCCGCCATTTTGAATTTTTTGAAAAACACTTAAAATCGATCTCTTCCTAGGAAGTTTGACCGATCTGCATGAAACTCGGTGAACATAATCTAGGGACCAATATCTAAAGTTCCCTCTTGGCAAAAGTTGGAAAACATACTAAAACTGAGCTTCTATAAGGCAATGAATATTGCGGAAGGCCTGGCTCATCACATAAAGGTAAATAACATCTCAAGTAGGGATGCACCGAAATGAAAATTTGTGGCCGAAGCCGAATATAATATTAAACGCTTGGCCGAATACCGAATATCGTTGTTTAGTTTTTCATTAGTTTTGGCAGATGAACCCCCTCCAGATTAGTGTTGTCACGGTACCAAAATTGGATCCCACTGTACGATACCAATGAAAATATCATGGTTCTGAGTAGTATCACGATACCACAGTGAAAATGAGGCAGATGTGCCTTTTGTCATTTATGAAAAGATAAATCACTTTTCTATTATAGGCTACATCAATGATATTTTAATGGAATAAATTACTTATTGGCTTATTCATACTTGAGTCAATGAGTGATTAACATAGGGGGGATCAAAGTAAAATAAATAAATAAAATAAGAATCAACCAGCCACCCTCCTTCCCTTCATAAGTAAAGAACAGTCCCTAAAGTGCGGTGAGGTTTGTGGGCCGTGAACGGCTCGTTTCTCCTCTGACACGTCACATACCTGTGTTCGGCTGGCTCGGCTGTTCAGGTACTTCTGGGCAGTCCACACGCCAAGAAGAAGATATTATTGGAGCCGACTTATCCGTCGCCGGTAAGCCGATGGCCGCCGTATTTGACAGGAATACATTACTGTCTGTGTCTGTGACCCCCGTTCAACCCACAATCAGTAGGATTCGCCTTTCATTTCTGCTGCTGGTTGAAATCTGTAGGCTGCTCGCACAGCGTGCTGAATGATTTAAGCCTATTTTGCTTGCTCAAAACTATTTTTATATTATAAGCCGTGAATTGCCTTTAAGTGTGTTCTGTAAATTACCCCCATGTAGCCTGAAGCACCTGTTTATATTCAAGTTTGAGGCTCACAGTCAGTTTATTGTTTGATTTAAACTTACCTTGACAGAAATTAAAATGTATTTTTTAAGTGTGTTATAGTGTAAATAGTAAAAAGTAAATGGACCTACACTTGTATAGCGCCTTTACAGTCATTTCACCACTCAAAGTGCTTTTTACACTACGAGTCACATTCACACACTCATTCACAAACACGCACACACACACACACACACACACACACACAGGTGGCTGAGGCTGCCATACACGGGGCCACCTGCTACTCAGTTTTTAACACACTCAAACACTGATGGAATAGCCATCAAGAGCAATTTGGGGTTCAGTATCTTCCTCAAGGATACTTCAACATGCGGACTGGAGGAGTCGGGGATTGAACCGTCGATGTTCTGATTTATGGACGATCCCGCTCTACTTCTGGGCCACAGCTGCCCACATTAAAAATAATAGTCCGGATCAATAACAGTAGTCCACATTGTTGAATTGGCATTATTGTTGTTGTTTATGATGATGAATTTTTCAAAATGTCTGTCTGTCCTCCCTGTCTCTGCAGTAATAAAGAGTGTCCTACCTGTCGCAAGAAGCTGGTGTCCAAGAGGTCGCTGCGTCCGGACCCTAATTTTGATGCCCTGATTAGTAAGTAACCACAAGAAGGTTAAGGGAGGTTTAATCACTACACAAAAAATATGGATGAACTGAAAATTGTGAGTCAAAACATTGTAAAAACATTTTAGAATTTAGTTTTATATTAACTTATGCCATTTCAGGCAAGATTTATCCCAGCCGCGATGAGTATGAAGCCCACCAAGAAAGAGTGTTGGCCCGCATTAGCAAACACAACAACCAGCAAGCCCTGTCCCACAGCATAGAGGAGGGGCTGAAGATACAGGCTATGACCAGGTAAACAGTGATCTCAACACACAACAATAATGTAAATATAACAATAATGCAAATACAAACTTAATACATTGCATTTGCATTTGTTTCTTACAGACTGCAGCGTGGTAAGAGACACACAGTGGAGAATGGTAGTGGAGCTGAGGACAATGGAGACTCCTCCCACTGTAGCAACGCTTCTGTCCACAGCAACCAGGTATGTTAGGATGTTTAACACATCACATGTGACAGTGTGTATGCATTTTGTGCCCCACTTATCAACGTTGACATTATAAAGCATGCACCAAGCAAGCCCTGCTGGGAGTCAGTTGTAATGGTGTGACCAGTGAAAATATTAAGTGACACACTGTGAAATGGTTTAAGTATGGAGCCCAGTTAGTGTTGCGCTAGACCAGGGGTAGGCAACCTGTGGCTCCGGAGCCACATGTGGCTCTTTAGCCCCTGTCCAGTGGCTCCTTGAGCCTTTGAGGAAAAAAAGTCTATGGAAATTCCTTCTATGAATCCAAATGTTGCTGAACCTCGATAGCAGTGGCTGGTTAGCTATGGACGCCAAATCCAAAAAAGTAAATTGAATAAAATAGAGAATGTAGCGCGTGGACAGATTTGTTTGCTCTCACTGCCAGCTCTGCAAAATTTAAGTACCAGATAATTATTAATAGTGCCATGCACAGTGGCCACCTTGTGGTAAAACATATTAATGAATGCTTATTTAGACCATAAGTATATGCTAATTTAGACTTAATAGGCTATTTACCTTGATTATAAGGCTCAAACATGTTTTGCGGCTCCACACAGATTTTTTCAAATTATTTTTGGTAAAAAAAAATGGCTCTTTTAATGGCAAAGGTTGCAGACCCCTGCGCTAGACCAATGTAATGATGAGACTCAGGAATAAATATTGTAATTGTTGAGACACACACTGCTGTGAATGACAGGGAAGCTTGATAATCACTGCCACTATTGCAGAACTACAGGATAAGCAAACTTGAATTAGGGATGAGACTGTGTTCAAAGGTGCGCTTCTCCTCCTGGTGTTTTTTTTTTTTCATCATAGAAATACTGTTTTTGAACATTTTCCCCCAGGAGGCAGGTCCAAGCATTAAGCGCACCAAGACAAGTGATGACAGTGGTTTGGACATGGATAACGCTGCTGAGAACGGGGGCGGGGATTCTGTGATCGACGGTGGTGCCAGCGAAATAGAACTGGTGTTCAGGCCACATCCCACCCTGATGGAGAAGGATGACGGTCACAACAGGTAGTGTCACACATATACAGCTTCAGTTAAGACTTGTGCTGATCTCACAAATAAAATACAGGAGTTGACTTGTCTGCTGTGGTGTGAAAGAGAGGCATAGAAAAGAAGCATTTCAAAAATCAAACAACTGATAAATCTGTCTGCTGTCTTGTAGCGATGGGTAACATTTTGTTTTTTAATTCAGTACCAATGCAGAATTAATGCTAGTGCCTTAACTGTGCCTGAATACATTTTCTAACGGCAAACATAAAGAACATTGTGGTTTAGCAGTTGAACAACACATACCCCAAATTTAATATTGACACATTAACATAATAAACCAACCATAGAATGTACAAAATGACCGTATCGCAAACATCAAGTATAAATGGTCACGTTGTTTCATTAAGCTGCTGACATGAGACTTGCTACGGCGTTTTGATTCTCTCATTCTCTCCTTTGGCTCTGTCCCTCTAACAGACACAGTCACGCAAAGAAAGACTCACAAACATGATTTGTCACACACACTCCTCCAGCCAACCAGATCACTTTCTCCTGAGCAATAGTGTCTGAGGCGAAGCGTGTATCTCATCTGCAGGGCTCCACACTGCTATTTAATTGCATTTTGCAACCATGCAGCTGCAATGCAACCTGTAAATATTATCAGTATATGAACTGGAGAGCTTTTTCATTGTTTTTTTTTTCCCAGCTTACAGTAAACAAATCAGCACCATCAGTTTAACTGCACCATGGAAACTGTTAAACTTAATGAGATTAAGGATAGCAGGAGTAGAGGAAGCGTGTCATTGTACCAGCTGGGTTCAGACCGTGACAATATAGTCTTGAGAACCCATCCATAGCCATAGCCATAGCCATATTGTCATTTACATATCAACTGTGCCAGCTGATTTACATATATTTGAATGTATGTGTGTCTGCAGTGTGGAGTTTGTCCCTCGCTACATTAAGACGTCCGGTAATGCTACAGTGGATCACCTGTCTAAATACCTGGCCGTCAGACTGGCTCTGGAGGAGCTGAGAAGAAACGCAGAGGCCAGTCCTGTTAATGTGGAGGCAGCTTCAGAGAAACAGTACACCATCTACATACCTACTGCTGGAAACCAGTTCACTGTGAGCATACACACACACACGCACACACACACACACACACACACACATGCAATAGGCATTGTCTGAGGGAACCTGACATCTAGGATTTTTCATGATCCTCTATACACTAAAAGCTACACCTACCTCTATAATGTTCTAGGTTTGAAAGCATTTTTGAATATATATGTAGGGGCATGTTCAAACTAAAACAGGGTATTATGTTGCTCTGTACATTCTGGAAGGGTAAAAGCATTTTTAAAGAAGTTGGGCAGTATGAGTAAATAATTTCTACTGAGAAATAGTACATTGCAGAAGAAGGTGTTTTCTAACTTGTTTGGCATATGTACGGCATTTGATGGATTTCATTTAAATGTAGTTGAAACCAGTCTGCTTATCATATAAGAAAGAACAATTCTGCTGCTACAGACCATTGACTGATGATAAAGATGAACAACATGTCTCCATGTCCTCCCACTGTACAAAAATGAAGCCAAAATATCCTGGATGCGGCGGCCACCATCCTGTGCTGGTGACATCATTTGGAGTCAAAGTCTGCGCAGCAGTGATCTCTGCGGTCTGACCATTGACCAAAATCTTCTGCTTGTGGTCTTCACTGATCTTGCCAGCAAGTTTTTCATCCTCCACAGTCGACTTCATGTTGAAAGCATACGACTCCAGGCCGTTCTTAGCATCAACTGGCATGCACAGCTGTCAGTCAAGATCAGACCCACTTTTTTATAGCATCAAATAACTTAATTCCAACCAAAATTATGAAAAACATGAACAATTGAGCATAATGATAAGAACTACCTTAAAAGACAGAACCCATCTTTGGGGAAAAAAAATGTGACATGTAGTTCTAGCTTTTAGTTTGGCCCATTTCCCATCTGCTAACATGGAGGGGGCTAGGTTTATGACTTATACTGCAGCCAGCCACCAGGGGGCGATCCCAATGTTTTGGCTTCATTTTTGGGGAGCTGTCATGTTGTCCAGCTATATGTACAGACTGTGCTACAGATAAATGGAACCTTGAGGATAACGTAGGAATGGAAAAGATTAATTAAAGAAGGTCATAATAGTCAGAGTGGGAAACCCTTCACGGATGTTTGAACTGTTTAACTTTGTTCACAGGTTCTGAATGGTTCCTTCTCCCTTGAACTGGTCAGCGAAAAGTACTGGAAGGTGAACAAACCCATGGAGCTCTACTTTGCTCCTACTAAAGAACACAAGTAGACGCATACAAACACACACATGCAAACACACACGCGCGCACACACACACACACACACACACACACACAAACACACACACACACACACACACACCAGTAGGAAATAAACATATGGACTTTGCTATAATTGCACACACAGAAACAAGAGGAGAGGAATTTGTGTGTCTGAAGGAGATGAGAGGGGTTGGTTTTACCCTCAAAAGGACTCTTGTAAAAAGAAAAAAACTTGTTTTATATTCTCTGTATCTTTCTGTGTCTCTTTATATCTCTCTCTCTCTCTCTGTAGAAGGTAGCAGATCAGTACAACAGCCAGCAGGTAAATCAAAGCGATAATGGGCTTTTAAAGTATTTGTAGATTTGTTCCAACTCTGAAAAGCAGGGTCCATTCACAGTCTGAATTAGCAATGTTCTGTTTTCCAAGTAATAGAAATTTTATCATACTGTTTTTTGTCTTCAGTAGAGGCCCCTTTATGCTCTGTGATTTTGGTCTGTATCCAAAGTTGACTTTGAGAGACATAGGTGAAATCTTAAATCGTCAGTCCAAATCTTTATTATACAGTATTTGTTTTTCATTACTGGCCATTTTAATTTTCTGTCTAAATTTGTGAACCCTAAAACGTTTATGGAATCGCACAACTTTGAAAAGGAAAATTCAAAGCACATAAATTCAGACAGCATGTTTTCAAAGTAAAATATTTCAGTTTTCAACAATAAGTAGTGATTAATCAGTGGTGATTAAATTTCATAATGAGGTTTGGGTTACTTATGAAACAGATGATTACAGCCTTTTCTTTGCTTCCATAGACAATCTTCTAAACTGGTGGACAGTCAGACACAGATTGCAAACAAGAGTTTATTCGACCCATCTGGCATACTGTCACATGCTGATAGTGTAAAGGGGCCTTTGAAAAAGCACCTGTTAAACCATACATTGAATACTACAAGGTAAAATGTGTGTTCACACTGATAACTTGACAGTTATTGACCAGCAGTGGGCAGTGCACCATATTCAGTTGAATCTATATAGTGGCATGAAGCTACAAAGATTGCCTTAGGCAAATCAGTTTTGTTTGTCTTTTTCAGATAATGTTCCAAGTGTTCTCCAAACTTTTTTTTAACATGGCTTTATAATAAAACTAGAGAACAGTGAAGGTCTGGATGGCTGCAATGTTTTTGTCAGGGCAGGCTGCTGTCTGAAACTGAATCACTATAACCGTAATCTCTGTAAGCAGATATCTGCATTAGGGCTGCTCCTTGAAATTTATAGATTCGAATCATCAGTCGGAGACCCCTCATACGACTGAGATTGTGCAGTTTACTTCTGGGAATGTTTTGGTCCCCAGATTTTGCTGCAGTGAGTGCTCTTGACTTTCATGCTACACTTTGGTACAGACAGCTGCGGATGTGATGCAGCAACACGGGGAGGAGAGACTCTGCACCGTAAGGCTTTGAGATAACATTGTCTTCGCTTTTCTGCTTAGAAGTGGTGATTTTACAGCTCGTAGATACTTGATATGACACAGTCTCTGGCTTTTGTTTCATATCTAGTGTCGGTAAAAATTGTTGCACATTTCCGTACTATATTACTTGAATGCCACTGTCACACTCAACATCCCGCTGCACCTGTTCAAACTTGGAAACTTGATATGGAGGGGGAAAAAAAACAAATTAAGTGTATTAAAAGGCCAAATCTGATTTGACTGACATATTTCAGAATTGGGTACAGCCTTCATCTGCATATGTTAGCAGACTCTGTTGGTTACCAGAAAAGAATTTGGTATCGGAAGTGTTCTGGTTTTCGTTTGTAGTCTGAGTTGTATCAACCAATCATGTTTGGTTCCCTGCAGGTNCAATGTAAATAGTCATGAAAATAAAGAAAACACATTGAATGAGAAGGTGTGTCCAAACTTTTGGCCTGTACTGTATATATATATATATATATATATTTATATATATGTTGTCTGGACCTGTCTCATCAGTTGAACTGTAAACAGTGAGTGGTGCACAAAAGAGGGAGTCTTGGCCTGGATATCCACTGGCTACATCGCAACTCCTTAGAAATATTGGCTGTTGCCCAAACCAAGATTGCGTCACAGGGAACAAGAGAGCATGAAATGAATGGAGCTCTGGTCATTTCTGTCAGCGATGCTACCAGTGTGAACGCATTACAATCCAACTGCACTATTAGCAGGGCTTGTCTCTGTTTTGCTGGTCTGATATGGCCAGAGTTTTGTGTACAGCTTAATAACTCGTTGGGAACGTGAATAGTGACGGAGAAGCTGTTGTCTTGATCTGTTGCCTGTAGAAACAAAACTGTCCTGATATCTGTGGCTGCTCTCTATGGCTTGTTCTTTTATAAATGTCTTTTATAACATGGAGAGGGAGGAGTGTGATTGGAGGTGGGTGGGGTAGGAGGATAATTTTGCAGCACCATAGACAGTCAAACCATGAAAGTATCTCTTCTGCTATCTCCACCAACCTACTCCCTTTGCTGTTAAATCACTGCTGACTCACCAGTGGAAGGCAGTTTTCTGTCACAGGATCATTTTGTAGCCATCATTTCTTAGATGTAAAGAATAGGCATCAACATCCAAACCATCCTCAGCTATAGCTCGGACATGACATCACAGAATATTTTAGGGTATATTTGTTTTTGTTGTGTTTCAGACACATGGTGGGGTTCGGTTCAGTGTTTCAATACCATGTGTTTCAGTCTCCATGTAGCTAACTTAGGGCTCTGAAAGTTCCACAAGAATAGAAACCCTGAGTGTGTGTGAGCTACAGTGAGTGGATGTGAAGCCAAACATGTTTGTACTATAAATGTTCCATTATGTCAACTGCCTTATTTTACTTTGCATCTGATTCGGTACATTATCACGCCCATAAGAACCCTGACTAGACAAACGCCAACCTTTCCACCCAAACATACATGTTTCAAACATGATGTTGCTCTTTTACCTGGTCTTTCTGTTTGTGGGCAAGATGATGGACCAGTGTGTGTGTGTGTGTGTGTGTGTGTGTGTGTAAGGGAAATCATGAGTTTTATTTTTATGGCACAGAAATGTAAAGTTCGCATGTATGAAGCTCCTTCTGTTGATGAGCAGTAATGTAAAGAGGATCAGAGCTGATGTTGTCATAGCTGCTGCTAACAGCCGCTGGGTGGCACATTGACGGATCATGAGTGAGTGGATGAATTGATTTGTTGCTGCAGCCTGCATCAGGTGTGGAAGGATCCCTCTCTACAGCCTGTCTGGACTTAAGGACACCAAAGGCAGATATTCACTGCTGTTACAAAAGTGGGGTGTTTTAGGTCAGAAGCAGCATTAATTGTTCCATGAAAAGCTGAAAATGTTTTATTTTTCTTGTCACTGATGTCACATTTGAAATTTAGCAGTGCAGTTCTAATGTAACTCATTTATTTGATCCAAGAGTGATTATACTTGCAGCATTTGAGAGGCAGTGTCAGTGTATGTTGACAGTGGTGAAGAAAACGAAACTAGGGCTTCATATAAACAGTACCTAGTTTGGTGAGCTGATAATCAGAGTAAAGCACTGTCACATTCCAGTATCACTATCTCACAACATTAAAAGGCTGCAGCCCACTTCTTTATGACTTCACTGTTCAGTTCAGGACAGTTCAGTCAATATTTGTGAGAATGTACTAAAGTCTCCTAAACTTAGAAACTACTGCAACCCTTCACATGTGCACTGCTCTTTATCATCAATAACATTTCTGTTAATTTGACAAAACCATCTTAACACTTGGTCCTTATTAGCTTTTTGTGGAGCTTTAACTACATCTCACGGTTTTCATCAGCAGATAAGTTTTGCTTATTTGCTATTATAGAAATGTTTTACCCACTAAATGACCATTTGTATATTAATTACTCACTGTGTCTTATGGGGAATTAGTGAAGAAGACATTTTCTCACATGTCTCCATAGTGAACAGAGATCCCAAAAGGTGAATAAAATCTGGGGTTTATATGTATTAAAGGTATACTTCACCCACAAAATGACCATTTGTGTATGGATTACTCATGGCATATTTACTTTAAATTTGTTACAAAAACTTTCTCTCATGCCTCCCAAAAACAGTCTTCATGAATTGAAGTACATGGGGTCCATGTTTAACAACAGCAAAACTATATCAAAACATCTGTTTACAAACTCTCACATGACTAGAGCAGTGTAATCCAAGTCTCATCTATGTAATCATGTGCTCAGTACTTCACAAACACATGATTTTTCACTAAAATGTTTCTATTTAAAACATGTTGGTACATTCCCATGCACAGCCGAACTCTGAACTCCGCTCAAACAGGGTTCTTTGGAGTTGCAACACTTGTAGGCAGAGGTGTTTTCTTTCTAACATTTTAGTGAAAGTCAGGGATCCCAAGGTCATGGAAAACCTGAAAAAGTCAAAAGAATCTTTAAAAATCATTGAACGTTTTGGAAAAGTCATGGAATTTTGTTGTCTATGAAATTATTGAAGTAATCTTCATAGGATAACCTTTCATGTAATGTATCGTAATGGCAATTTGTTTTACCTCTAATATTTGTCGATGTGTGTTGTATTTTTGATCATCACGTCTCTTCATTTTCTTCTGGCGTTCCCTCTCTCTTTTTGTTTGCCAGCTAGTTTAAATTACGTTTGAATAGATTTTGGATGTGGTATGTTATAAAAACGCCCAGTAAGTAGGGCAAGATTTTTTTTTTCTTATTAAGGGTTCTTACAAAGTTGTGAAAAAGTTTTGAAATGTTCTTAAATATATGTGGTAACTGTGGAAAATATGCATACAACTGGGTAAATGAGACTTAGATTATACTACATGAGCTGTGTGACAGTTTTGATAAAGTGTTGTTGTTAAATGTGGTCCCTGTTCACTTCAATTGGTAGAGAATGGTGGCATTTTTTTTGGGATTCCCCATTCACTGTGGAGGCATGAGAGAAAATTTTTTCTTCACAATTCAAAGTGGTGACTAACTAATATACAGATAGTTATTTTGCGAGTGAAATATTCCTTTAAAAAAAGCAACTCTAAATGGACCGTGATTTAAACTACTATTTGGACAAGAATGAACTGAGTTCTGATTTTACCTGTGAATGTGCCATCTCAATTAAGCCTCTGCTTAATTAAATGTCAGTGTGGCTGAGTCACTATGAGGCACACCGCAAATTGAATGACTGCACCAGATTTCTAGCTTTAGGAAAGAGAAAGCAGAAAGTTCCACAAACTAAACTGCCCTGAAGGCATGTGTCAAAGGTCAACTGCTGGAGTCAAAACTCAGTGAAAACGGCTTCACTCCTGTCTCATTTGGTACCTGTGTGTCTGATAATCTGTCTGTGTGTGTGGAACCTGTACACTGCATCTTTCTGTTTGGACAATAAACCTGAATCTATGTGTTCGACAGAGAACACAAAGTGCTGTTGCTTATGTTCTCATGGTCTGGTCTCTAAATCACAAAAAAAAAGACTGCACTATCTTAGGGGGAGTCATGGACTCTGTCACCTATTAGTATAAAATAATTTAAGTTACATTTCCTTTGTCTTAGTCCTGCCTTTGCAATTAAACTGAATTTATAAAATGAGTAGAGAATAAGTCAGATTAGATAACAGAAATAACAGCTGTTAGTAGGAGAGTAACTAGAATTACCGCTCCGCATTGTATACCTCTGCACTAGTCAAGTTTCTCTTAGAGTTTACATCCATGTCTGTGAAAACATGGATATTTTACAGACATCTTCCCACAGGCAGCACAGAAGATCTATACAATCAGCACAGTTTCAAGGTGGACACCCAAGATTAGTGTCACCAATTCAGTATCTGACCAAATATTTTCCCCTCTGTTCCTGAGATATGATGTTGGCTAATGGTAAGAAAAGTGTTTTATGTGGAATATGATGTCACAGTGAGGTTGACCAGATGCAAGGTCACACTGACCTTGGCTTTTGACCACCAAAATCAAATCAGTTCATCACTGTGGCCAAGTGAACGTTCGTGCCAAATTTGAAGAGCATGGAACATATATGGTTAAGAGATAGGCAGTCCTTAGCCATGCTAGATGCAGACTTTGCAGCAAAACATTTGACGTTAGCAAAGTGAGAAAAGCAGCTCGGGTCAGTGACACCAACGGGAAAAAGCACCAACAGATTGCCAGCATCAGCACACATTTTACTCCTGCTGTAGATCAGATAACTAGGTTATCACCTAGTGTCTACTGTATGTGTAGACACTAAAGCATTTCATACCATATTCCATGCTACATTTTTGCTACAATGCTTGTTTCAGCACACTGGAGCAGAGGGCTGCCACTAACAATTATTTTCATCATCGACTAATCAATTGTTTAGTCTATGAAGTGTCAAAATTGTGAATAATGCCAGAGCCCAAAGTGACATCTTCATCTTACTTCCTCTGTCCAACCAAAAGTCCAAAACCCAAAAACTCTTCATTTACTATTGTAAATGACAAAGAAAAGTAGCAAATACTCACATTTAAGAAGCTGGAATTGGCAAATGTTTGACAACATTGCTTGAAAAATGACTGAAATGACAAATTATTGCATCTCTACCTGAGTAAGAGCCTTATTATTACATCCTATAATTGCTTTACAGGGCTAATGTTTGCTATTTTAATCTATGGTACTTAAAGCTGTGGAAATGGGGTAAAATGCAATGGAAAAGATAGAGAAGTTTTGAAAATTCATTGGTTAAAAATGTGTGGGAACCCTGGTTGCATTTCTAGACCTATGTATGTCCCATTAATTTTTATGTTTGTATTTTCAGTCAATGAGACAATGGAGTAATAATGACGACATAAAGGTCAGACTTGGATGTTCGGGTTTAGCAGCACGTATTCTGTTTGAGCAGCCTAAGTCAAAAACAACAGCACTGAGCTGTCAGCCTCAAAGATGGGACATGGTATATGAAAACCAGACATCCAGTTGCTGATTGTGTGTACAAAATACACCACGTGGATACTGTGATGAAAATACACTGCCTACATGGGAATCACTATAACTTGAATGAGTTTTTTCATTTTGAGAGTGGCCTCTGATAAGTGATTCCCACAAATGCTCCAAGCTGGTAGCTTGGGTAGGACATATTCTTATGCTCTTTATCTTTTTTAAAATAATGAGAAAGGAATGTAATCAGCCCATATTCAGGTTTATTACTTTATTTTTGCTTATTTCAGATATAAAAAACAACAAAAGCAGTAGAACCTGAAAGCCAGGCTACACACAACAGTGTGGTGTAAGTAGAAAAAAATAGTCAACAAACAAACAAACAGAGTTAGAATGATGAGGGAAAAAATGAACACCGATCCCAGCATGCACTGGGCAAAAGGCAGGGAAACACCCTGGACAGGTCACCAATCAATGACAGTCCATCCAAGAAAAATCTTTTCTATGTCCTCATCCTGGATGATGAGGATAGAAGTAAAGTAGAGGAGGGGGAGTGATGTTACAGTGAGCCAGCAGAGGCATCAGAGCAGCACTGAGGCAGTCTGAAAGGAGTGTGGCGCTGCTTTAGAGAGAAAGTGTCTGAGTGAAGCATCTGAAATGTGTCCGCTCTCATGGCTGGCACACACAGACAGTTTGAGGTGCCAGCACCTCCCTGCCTGACTGCCAGCACTACTACATTCCAGAGGTGGGACTGAAAAAAGTAAAGGAAGAATGGCATCAGGAGGGCACTCAGCTTTAGTATAAAAATCATGTCCAAAAACATAGAGTGTTACTCAGCTCTGGTGAGCTTGCTTTTAGCCAGATTACCGTCCATGTGGGGTCTACAGATGGACTCTGTGGGTTCTGAGAGGATCAGACAGTCTTCCTGGCAGTAAGGACTCTAACTATAGAGCCCACTCCTCCCACTGCCAGAGCCTGTGGACACAGAAAACACACACATACTTAATGCTGATATCAAGCGTAGCACACTGTAGCAAACACAGGAGACAAAAAAATCCTTCTATTTCCAAATTAAGTTGTTAAGTTAATATGGCAACCACTGACCATTAAGTGAGTTTTGAGAAAATTTGCACGTGTATATAATATTCATTCATTGTGCAAAATAAGAATGTGATTCTGATAGTTCATTTTAAAGCCGATATTGGCCGACACCAACAACATGCTGATATTATCGTACATCCCTAAAAACAAATATGAATCGAGCTTAACAAACTTATTAGACCACCACCCAATTTAAGGTTTATGCCACGGCTGCCCTAAATTAACAGCATTGGTAATTACCAAAATCATTTTTTATGTTTCTGTAATGGTTAATACACTAGTATGTAGAAGCTCTTTAACAGAAATTATATTTTTAATGCTAAAATATAATTATTATTACCTCTGACAAGGAGGTTATGTTTTCGCCGGCATTGGTCTGTTTCTCTGCAAAATAACTCAGAAAGTTCTGAACCGATTTTATTGAAATTTTCAGGACAGGTTGATAATGGCACAAGGAACAGATGATACAATTTTGGTGGTGATCGGTTGAAGCGAAATGGAGAAAATAATAAAATGGCGGGAAATCTGAGCTGCTTGGCGGAGGTCTGCACTCTCAGAGTGCTCTAGTTATTGTTATCCATGAATTTTCAAATTTATTGTTTTACAAAAAAACAACAGAAAAACAGAAAAAATAGCAAAGCACATTATTATATGTTACTTAAGATGTCAAATTATAGTTATTTACCATTTACTTGCATTCCTGACCAGAAAAATTAGTTTGAGTGGTTGAATGTTATGCTTGATTAATTTCTAACTTCTCAGAGAAGCCCAGTGAGCCGGCTCAAATTTGGGTATAAAAAGGTGAATTCAGTTTGAAATTCCTCATTCCTCTTCAAACTGGTGAAATGTTTAGAGCTCACTTAAAATGAAAGAGTCCGCATTAAAGCACTTAATGATGGTGGATGGTCTCTGAGACAGGGAAAGACAAAGTCTTCTCACAGTGTGGTCTAGTATGCTGTGGTCTACTCAATTGCCAAGACTGGTACTTACAACATGCGCCAAGGAAGAGGCAGGAAACGAAAGATAACTGAAGCGGATGTCAGACACCTCAAGATTTTAGGTACTAGAGACAGATGGAAAACCACTGCTGATCTTCAGGCGGAGATGAATGCTTCTAGATCAGAGTCTTGGAAAGTCTCCAAAATGACCATAAGCAGACAACTGATGGAACAAGGCTTAAAGGGAAGAATAGCTGCTAAGAAGCCATTATTGAGGACTACAAACATCCAGAAATGCCTCAGATTTGCCAGGGAACACAAACACTGGACTGTTGATGACTGGAAGAAGGTACTCTGCATAAACGAGTCCAAGTTTGACCTCTTTGGTCAGCATCATCATGTTTATGTCCGCAGAAAAGCTTGAGAACGTTTTGATGCCAGATGCACTGCACCCACAGTGAAACACAGTGGAAATTCCATTATGGTATGGGGTTCCAATTGTGGAAATGGCGTGGGCAAATTAGTGAAAAACGACAAAATCATGAACAACATACATAAACATCCCTCCTAATGGAGGGATATGCAGTGGAAAACCTACCATCCTATTCTTCTCTAAATCTGAATATGTATTTCTCAAATATTCTTCAACCTCTAGCCTTGCTGCTTTAAAGGGAAATTTCGGTTTATTTCAACCTGTCTCCTATCGTCCTAAATTTGTTTCAAGTGACTAGTGACAGGCACAGTATGAGATCACTGCTTGTTCTCGCGATATTTCGGCAGTGCTTTGGAAAGCAGAGCTAGATGGTAAACAAACATGGCAGCATACTGGTAAGGTAAGACAACACGTTTACATGTCGTTTTCTATATGTTCTCTGACATTTATCCTAACGATATGAGGCGGTCTTTGTGGAAAAAAAAGCTTGTTTAGTGGACTAACTTTGCACTTGAAGGTTGCCCGTTCACTTACGTTTTAACAGGTCTGACGCTACTATGTGCCCCAGCTGTATCTAGGCTAACGGCTAACATGCTAACTATTATTTTTATGTCACTAGTCACTTGAAACAAATTTAGGACGATAGGAGACAGGCTGAAATAAACCGAAATTTCCCTTTAAGATGCCCTCCCTTTTCCTGGCTAAACAATCCTTTAACAAACTTAAAAGGGTCCCTGAAAAAACCTGTCCTTACATGTTCCTTCTTCCTCCTCCTTTTCCTGAGATGCTCTGCACTTCTAAGAACTGCTAGCCTGCTTCTCAACTCCACTTGCAACACATTAATTCCCTCCCTTTCTTCTTCTGTAGCCTTTTTTCACTGCTTTCTTAACTGTCTCCTTTCCTTTACTAACTTCTCTATTTCTCTTTGCCGCCTAGACTTACCTGACTGTACCCTCTCACTCCTCTTTCTCTCATGCACCCCAAACCTCTCTGCACCATATGAGTAAATTCCCAGCAAGCAATAGTCGTGATTTAAACGTATTGGCTATATTTAGCTCTGATTTAGTCTAGCTACATGTAACCCAAATCTAGCCGATTTAATTTTGAAATTGATTAAATGTAATTTTCGCTATTGCAGATGGCGTGCGGTATTATATTCAATTACTTATGGAGAGTCAACAGTAATTTATATATGTTTATCTCCATTTTTTGGACATGGTCTCTACATAGCCGTATAATTGATAACGTCTACACTTTGGCTATGGTTAGACGTCTACCAAATTTTCACTGACAGCCCAAATTTAGCCTAGACGTCAGGTCTTCATGTAGACGGCTATTAGACGTTTTTTAAACCAAAAAATGCTTGCTGGGCTCCCATCTTTTCTAACTTTTCTATCGCATTTCCTCTAAGCCTGCTTAAGATTACTGACAATTCTCTATTAACTATCTCCTATTCTTTACTGTCATTTGCCCTAGGCCATCTAACTCTAACCTTCTGCTCCATGGTTCTCTCTCTGACTGGCATACTGACCTCAGTGTCACCTGCATCCTCTCTTACTACCCCCTCCTTCTCCTCCTCAGTGGCAGTGTTACTCATATCCTGCGAACTGTGGTTTTTTACCTGCCGCTGGACTTCATCCGACTGACTCGACTGACTTCTTAGGAAGTACTGATCAATGCAGCTACTCTGCCCTTTCTTTGCCACATACTTCTTTTTTCCCTGATGAGTTTTGAGGCCTTTTACTGATGTTACTTTCTGCCAGCCACAAGGACAAACCTGAAGCATCTTGTTCTTTACTGTGCTATTTTTTTCCTCTACAGATGCGCTTGCCTTGCCCTGAGTGTTGCTAATTCTAGCCCTGGTGGATAGGTCCGTGCCCCTATCCTTCACTGAGTCACAGATCCAATGCATAGTCATGTCTGTTCCAATGTCTGTTACCGTGTAATCCACCTGTCAGTCATTTTACACCCCAGCTCTCGCTGACTCTTGGGGTATTTTCCCTATGTTGGCTGTAGCTAATTTTGGTTGTAGTAAGGCTGCTAGGCCTCACCACTGCTACTATGGGCTGCTAGCCCATGCCAGCACCTTTGGGGTCTTTTCCCTCCTGTCAGCTGTCTTTCCAAGCGGTCAGCTGTCCTATTCATAGCAGTCACTAGCTGGGCTAGTTCTAAATTCAAATAAACACAAGAAGTTTGTGCTCTAGAGAAAGGATCAATATTATCATGCATCCCTAATACTGAGATCATGTGACATGCGATTTAACTAATTGCATGACTTCTGGAGGTAATTGGTAGCACTAGGTCTTATTTTTTTTGGGGGGGGGGGGACTTGGGGGGGTTGTTGTTGTTTATTTACATTTTTTAAAACAAGTTTTTATTTTTATTTCACTTCACCAATTTTGACTATTATATGTAGGTCCATAAAAAATCCTAATAAAAATCAACTGAAATTACGGGCTGTAATGCAACCAAAAACATCATGTCTGCCTGGACACTCACCATTCTGCATACAGAGCCAACAGATCCACAGAGGACACCATCTCCACTGAACCCTCAAACATCTTGAAAATAACGACACCTACCTACATCAGAATGCTGTCTGATGATTTCAGCTCAGCGTTCAACACAATCTCCACCACGAAAGTGAGTAGCAAACTTCAGACTTGAGTACCACAGTCTGCAACTGGATATCGGTCTTCTTTACAAATAGACCCCAGAGTAGGGGTGGGGGAAAAATTGATACAGCATGGTATCACAATATTTTTTTTGATACACAGGCGCTGAGTATCTATCTTTTATTATATACATTATTCATTTTACAACTTTTGGTACTAAAACAAGAAAATCAATTGCTTTTTCGGTCCACTAGATGGCGCTGATTTTATTTGATTTTTTTTCTGTTGAGGTCAGCAGAGGTCTCAGTCAGTAGCATTTGGCAAGGAGTTCATTAAAACAAAGATGGAGGCACTGGATAAAGAAATCAGAAATGCGCCACTGGCGTTATGACTGACTTATTTAGGATTTTTTAACAGAGAGGTAAGGAGGACTTGGATATGACACATAGGTTTTGCAAGCATTGTCATATAAGAATAAAACAACTCCTAAGTAACACTGCTCCCTCATCCTCCTCGTCTGCTCTTCAATTTCAATGAGCTCTGCATCCATGTACGTCCATGTACTTCGTGTTCAAATAAATATGGGCGGTCATCAAATTCAAATGGCTCATCCAGATCCAGTTGGTCAAAATTGGGTAAAAATTCAGAAATGTTTGTTGTGGCAAGTGAAAACACAGAGAGATTTGAGTAGATGCAGGAAGTAACCGCTGGTGTGACCTCACCAAACGTGAGGAGTTACTCTGTTTGGAGTAGTCACGGCTGAATTTTTACCCGATTTTGAACAACTGGATCTGGATAAGCCATTTGAATTTGATGACCAGATAACACGGAGTACATGGATGAACACAGATGCAGAGCTCACTGAAACTGAAGAGTGGACGAGGAGAGAGAGGGAGCAGTGTTACTTCGGTAGAGCATATACTAAAATTGCAACAGGCAGAGGAACATGTCCGAATCCAGCTAAAGGTAAACACAGACGTTCATTTCTCCTTTCCATTATGTTGTGGGATAATTATACTTACAATCCGAGTCTATCTGTGTGAAAGAAATGCACTTTTAGTGGAAGTATTTTGACGTTGTTTGACGTTGTCTGAGTGCCCTATTATTTAATATAGCGCACGCTCACGGGCTGCAGGCAGGTCAGCCCGAGCTTTGTACTGGAGAAATGCCAAATACTGAACATCCTATCACTCATTTAGACAAAAGTAGATCGGAAAATAGGGCCCAGGTTGAAAAAAAAACATTAGTTCCCCTTTAATCTGGCCCCACAGAGGACGTTCAATCTGCCAACAGTTTAGTTTGTCAGGTGTACGCTGCATTTCTGACAGGTTTTATGATTGTGTTGGTCAGTCTGTCTGCTTTTCATCACATTTTGCTGCAATAGAAATGACTGAAGTCAGATGAGCAGACTGAAAACTTAAAGGCACTGTATGTAAGAATGTGGCCAAAACGGTTACTGCACTCAAATTCAAAATATTGCCGTGAGTTGTGTCCGCCCCCCCCTCCCCTACAGATTCGAGGTTGCTGCTCTGTGCCGAATTGCTGCGTTGTGCTCCAGCGTCTGGCAAAAATAGAAGTCCTGTGTATCTGTTGCGGAGGGCTCCGGAGTGCCGCAGCAGAGATGGAGCAGGAACGCAGCACAGCTGCAGCCGGTGGTAACACACACATTGACTAGAACTGAATCCTGCCGTGCCGGAGTGCAGATGCAACCATCGTGCATCTGGTGGAAACTGGGGGTGATTTGTTTGCCCACGGGCGGCTGCCGTGGCAGGGCTGCGTCGCTGCGTCCTTGATCTTCGGTTTTCTAGCTGGCCGTCAGAGCATGTCCGGCTTCTCTGCCGCTGCTACCGGGATACAGCTGAGGAGGAGCCGGCTGATAATGCTATGTACCGGGACACTGCTAATGCTGCTTGCCGTGCTGCTAACATTTGTTTCTCAAAAACATCAGTCGGGTCGATGACCGACCTGCACATGGGCTACAATGTATGATCGAAAATGATCAACAGTTGAAAGTATTCGAAATGTCCATCCCCGTCTAGCTATGATGCTAGTTAGCCAACTTTGGCTAAAGCTTACCTGTCGAGGAGAAGAGTAGCCACTTCGACATCCGATTTCAAATTCTTCTCCGCTTTCAACCGTCTCCACCGTTCACAAGCATCTCCTATATAGACCCTCGCTTTGCCTCGAGTTTTGTCTTGGCGTTTTTTGGGAATCATAACGAGGTCATTTGGGTTTAGTCACACCGTCAGCCATTGTAGCTCAGTCTTAACTGTAACTGATTCTGAGATTCTACTGACTGTGTGACTGGTAGACGGTTGTGGGTGGCGCAACAGGCCAAAACACAAATTCAAAACATAAACATGATTTGCTGACCGTAAATTTTTTTTTTAAATGCTAATATTCTGGTTGTACTATTGTTGTCTGTGAGATCAGTATGTTATATGAACATTATTCCTTAGTCTCTGTGACATATTAGGATGATTTGACGACTATTTGCTTTAGATTTCTTACATATAGCTCCTTTAATCTTATGAGTTAAAGCTGATGTTGAAAAAGTTTTCCTTTGGGGTAGTAATTTGCAGTTGGAAAAAGTACTCAGCATATTGCAATACCACCATGATATCGGATTGTGACCTAAATATCGCAATAATATGGTATCATGGGTCCTCTGGTGATTCCCCTGCGCTAGAGCAGTGGTCACATGTTCCATGTTCACACTCTTCTGGTGCTGAACATCAGGGCCCCACAGCACTGTGTGCTCAGCCCTTCCTGTTCAATCTGTACACCCACAACTGCAAGTTCCGACATGGAGAGAAATCTGGTGTGAATTTTAAGGGGCTAAGAAGGAGGCTAAGAGACACACCCTCTGTCTACATCGGTCGAGCTGAGGTGGAGCAAGTTAACAGTTTTAGGTTCCTGGGAATCTGCATCCGTGAGAACCTGACATGGTCATCTCACATCTCCATACTTGTGACAAAAGCTCAGAAACGGATGCATTTCTTTAAGACTTAAGGAAGCTGAATTTCTCCGCCAAATTCTTGTTAGCTTTCACAGAGGGGCAACAGAGAGCATCCTGACCGGAAACTTGCATGGAATGTGCACAGCCCAGGAAAACAGAGCTCTGCAGTGGTTGATTTGAACTGCACAGAACATCACCTGTACCAATCTATCCAGCACCGGTGATATCAGTTAGGTGAGGTGCTTGTTCACAGCTCAAAGGACACTAAAATTTAAAACTCACTCCAGTGATACACAAGTATCTGCTGCCGTACCGCGACTCTACAGAATAGCTTCTTTCCTCAATCTGTGGGACTCCTCAACTCATCCTCTGTATTCTACCAACATTTTTTTTTCTTATTTTCTCTTGTGTACCTTTAAGGATCTACAACTTGCCTTTTTTTGTGCAACCCTGTTTAGAATATCAAACAACCTTGACCTTCAAATTCAAATTTTCACAATCTTTCTCCTAGTCTTATCTGATACTTCCCCACCTCAGACAATACGATATTTTGTTAATCTAAAAAAATATTTATCATTTGGAATTTGTATGACCTTAACTGCAATGATTACAAAGCACATACCTTTTCATGCCACTGCAGCAGCACAGTGCTGCTGTTGTCAGAGGGCGTCTCAAAGCCTCGGTAGATGTATTTCATCAGCAGGTCCACTCCAGCTTTGTCCAGTAAGCCCACAGCCTTCTCTATGTCACTGCTCTTAAAACTGCTCAGCACTTTGACCACGAGCAGCTCTGCTCGCTCCTGCACACGCACACGCACACACACACACACACACACACACACAGTGGATGGTATATATCAAACAATATATATAGCTGAATGACTTGGCTGTCCTTTATCATATGTGTCAAATTATTTGTTACACAGGACCATCTCACAATCTGTCATTGGAATCTGTTTGGATCCGTTTCATCAGTCTCATTCTTGTGAACACAATATCTCAAGAGGACCTTGAGGGAGTTTCCTCAAATTTGGTACAAATGTCCAATTAGACTCAAGAATGAACTTCTTAGAATTTGGTGGTTGAAGGTCAAAGATCAAGCTCACTGTGACCTCACAAAACATGTTTTTGGCCATAATTCAAGAATTTATATGCTAATTATGACAAAATTTGACACAAATGTGTAATATGTCTCATAAAATGACAAAGTGATGACATTATACTGTATGTCCAAAAGGTCAACTTCACTGTGACATCAAAATGTTCTGCAAAATAACGTCATACTGAAGAGGATACATTTGGCCAGACACTGAATTGGTGACACTAATTTTGGGTGCCCACCTTGAAACTGCTGATTGTACAGATTCTATGTGCTGCCAGGTTGAAGATGTGTGTGAAGCATCTATGTTTACACAGACATGGATGTAAACTGTAACTACAATTTGACTGGTTCGCGGAGGCATACAAGCACAAGGTGGTAATTCTAGTAGAGGTACATCTTTCGAGTATGAACACTTAAATAGCCTTTATTTAAATCCTTATGTTGTAAAAGTTGTAAAATTTACTAGTGGCCCAAACCAGATTTATCTTCTTACTGTCATTCATGTAAGTGAACCCGAGGTTGAGTGGTTAAGAGCTGGGGTTAAAGGACACGCTAGTATGCTTGCTCTGTGGGCCAATGGATGCTGATGATCCAGTTATTTTATACCCAGATGTTTATCTTTTATGTCTTTATCTGCCTCAGAGCAACTTTCATAGGAATAAAGGGGGCCTTGCCATAACCGCTGTATGCAGTTCTCTTTATACATCCATGGTCATCACACACACAACTAAACCACGCCTGTAGCTGCCAGTGACTCCTTACAGGACACTGATTTGTTCAAAGCACTGGTGGTTCGGACACAAACACATAATTTAAAACCTAACTAGATAGATTTTCCTTAGATCTCATTGCGAGAATCCAGCTGTCATGCAAGGTAAGGCTTTCCCTGTTGGTGAAGCTTTAGAACTCTGCAGACTAAAAGACCAACACACAGAGAGGTTATTTGTTTTTTCCATAGATTAAGACCAGCTGTGTCGTTTTAGCGATCCAGCAAGATACATGTTTTGTCAGCATATGATCAATACATCCAATTTAAACCGAGTTTTGAAAAGAAAATTATTTTATTGTATGAAAGTTAAAATTACCAACATTTACAGGCATCAACACCTGAATCCCAAAACTTAGAAGAGAGACTTGGACAGGCAACTGTTAACTTCAAAAACAATAATGGCTCCTGATGAGGTTAGCATAGAGGCTGCAATATCAGAACTGGAGGGTATTTCTTCATTGAAAGAACAGCATAGAATGGCACTGGAGGCTTTTCTTGATGGAAAAGATATTTTGGCTCTCCGACAACAACAGTAACATACAGATGGTTCATCCATTCACCTGTCAAGTATTTTGTGAAAGTTCCCAGCTTCTCAGATGGTTCTATGTAACAACAAACCATTTGGTGCTTCAGGTAAGGCCATGTTAGGTTTCATCACCAAATTGTGTCGTCATCATCCTCTGGACCCCAGGATCTCTAATAACTGAGCAGTTTCTAACCTTATATTCTTTTCAAAAGTAGTAGAAAGGGATGAGGAAGGCCAGTTGTTTCCCTTTTCTATTTCTCAACTTTTAGCATCCGCCATCAGTGGACAGTTACCATCAACACTTGGGTTGTTTCGCTATATCCCATATCTGCCACACATTTTGCTGTTTTGTTCCCTACATAGGATGATGAGTTTAAAACATGGATACTGAGTGTAGAGTAAGGACCCATTTCCTGCGGAAATTACTCTTCAAATCATCTCACATCTTTGAGAGTTTTTTCATAGGATGGATATGCTTGTTGACCATATGAACCAAATCCCATTCCCAAATACCTAAATCCATCCTCTGCCTGTCCTATCACTTTCCGTAATATGATTATTTACTCATAAATTTAGAAGCAAAAACAATCAATACATGCGGAAAAAATACCCGATTGCTTATTAATGCTTCAAATAAGTCAACGGTCTTGTATCACTGCTATGTGGTGATACATTAAGAAGGTGAAGGATGTCTGGTATTACTGCACTTACACATGGCACTCAGCAGAGACAAATACTGATACCTTGGCCATCTGGTTCTTTGTGTTGATTGGAGGATTCTTCAGCACAGCCTCGAGAGCTGCATTCATGTTCCCCTTGCAGAACAACAGTCAAGGACCACGCAGTTACACAGGACAGAGATACATGTGCATCACTTTGTTCAACTAATTAAACACAAAGAGATGAGAGAAAACGTTTTTCTACAATGTGTACTGCACAGAATCCTCATTTAGCCTCCACCTGACAGGCATCATTGCTTCTTGCCATTAAAAAGTCAACTGTGCCTTCTTATTTAAGATAATTATGTATTGTATAAGGGAGAAAAGCTTGTGCAGCTTGCATTTTTTAGTTACACAACTCCAACTTGCATAAGAGCTATTAGAGACACTATGCATGATTACATTGGCTCATCATCCCAATTGGCCGATATTGGCTGTAAAATGAAATATTGGTATTGGCCAATATGCCAATTTCTGCCGCTATGACAAACCATATACATATATATATATATATATATATATATGTACATAAAAAGAGAGATGACTGGTTGTATAATGAAATGTAGATCAAAACCTTGTGTCGGATGCTTATAGAGAACGGGAAACAACAGGGGGAAAAAAATCATTAAAAGAGCCAACATGTTTTGACAACTGCAGGTCTCCGTCAGGGCTTTAAAAACGAGTTTTAAATCTGTTTTTACAAATTTCCCGTAAAAGTAAAATACCCTTAGAAAACAAAAGGCTGTTAATCATTTTTTTCCGCTGGGCTTTTCAAATTTTAAAGGAAAGGTTCTTGAAAATGCATATAAGTCAGACAATGAAAAAATAGTACTACACAATGCAAACACAAATACATAGTCTTAAACCACATAGTCTTAAACCAGTGTAGGCCTACATAGCTTAAAATACATTCATTCATCTTCTAATCACTTCATCCTCTTGAGGGTCGCAGGGGGGCTGAAGCCTATCCCAGCTGGCATCGGGCAAGAGGCAGGGTACACCCTGGACAGGTCACCAGACTATCGCAGGGCTGACACATAGAGACAAACAACCATTCACGCTCACATTCACACCTATGGACAATTTAGAGTTATCAATTAACCTACTCCCCAATCTGCATGTCTTTGGACTGTGGGAGGAAGCCAGAGTACATGGAGAGAACCCACGCTAACACAGGGAGAACATGCAAATTCCGCACAGAGGGGCTCCCACACCCGGGATCGAACCAGCAACCCTCTTGCTGTGAGGCAACAGTGCTAACCACCACACCACCGTGCCACCCACTTAAAATAAATATAAAAATAAAAATAAACTGAGGTACAAGCATACAGATGAGGCATATCCAGTAAGAGGATTCAGGGAATAGAGTAGCATAATTTTCCATATGGATATGGATGGCCATATGGATGTACTGATATCTGTATCCCTTATCGGCCAAATAAGTTGTTATACATTGGCTTATCAGATATCAACAAACAAAATCCAATATTGTGCATCCCTAAGAGCTCTTGTTCTTGATAATGTTAATGAAACCCAGTAACATTCAACTAGGTTTTGTTTTGTTTATTTCTATAATGTTGTTCATGATAGCTGGTTCACAGCAGTTCACTGCTAATTATAACTTTATGTATACTACATAAAGTCTATTTAAAAATAAATTCTGGTTACAACACCAAACGCGACCACACCCTCGTGTGAGCTGACACCCGGAAACGCTACTGTGACAGTCATCCTTCGGCTATGTCCTCACAACTGTACTCATTATGTCACATAATATCTCATATGACTACAGTCTAAACGACCGATATTAAATACAATCAGAAGATATCAAAATATACTGCGAACTTGAGCTAACTCTGCTAACTTAATGTTACCGAGCATGTCAACAGAACAGAGATGTGTCTGAACCGACATGGTTCATGTTAAGGGATATAATGTGAATAAACATGTATAAAGGACATAATATAAATAGACATGTATCAAAGGACATAATATAAACGCACATGTATGCTATTTAAATGAAAGGATATTGTCTGAGCAAAGCGTCCACTTCTGCTTCGTCCGGACCGCCCTGGTTCTCTCCTCCGTCCTCCTCGTCCACAAACTTATTCTCATCGTATTCATCAACGTCTACTTTCCTAAACCGAGCGGAGTCTGTATTTTTAGACATTTTCGAAACGGTAGTAAAGCTTGTTATGGATAGCAGATACCAGCTGTACTGTCCACTTTCCAGCGCTTCCACTTCCTAACTCCTTCACTTCCGCCTCTTCTTCCTCTTTGGAATTATTGCTGTTGTACAGCTTTATTACCGCTACCTGATGGACAGGAGGATGGTGTAGTCATGTTAGTGGGAGAATTTAAGTATACACATTTTTTTTTAACCAGAAAAAAACTCTTGAGATTTAAACTCTCTTTCTCAAGAGTGTCCTGGCCAAGACAGACAGTAACATTATTTACAGATAGACAACATGGAACAAAAGCACAAAATAAAAAAACAGACAGCTCTAAAACAAACAATATGAAACACCTAATGAAATTACTACAAAGACAATCAAATAAGCATGTTAATATATGCTTTAAGTGAACCATAAAAACATAAAACAGGGCCAACTACACATGATTGCATGGAACAGCTAAAATACACCCTGACATTGGCATATAGATGATTGCGTGCAAAAAATCCTGGAACAGTGCTTTGGAACAGCCGAGAGGAACCAATGAGTGCAACTTTAACAAGCTGCATACATACATGCTCGTCTGCCAAATTTTGGACGTACCCTCAGTACAGACAATGTTCTGTTCTGTAACTGGAGAGCACAGCCATTTTCAATTTTTTGCTGAATGTACACACACAGATATGCTGGCAGTAGGCAAAGAATAGCTTTGTAAACAAGAGAATGCCAATGAAAAAGTATGCAAAAGCTTGAAGAGAGCCACCCAACCAGAGCATAGAGAATACAGTGATGAGTTAAGGGCTTACAGTTGGTAATACATTTCAATGCATCACAATAGAGTCCAGAGCATGCAAACACTGACATGCATTCATATAGGCTATAATACATCCCAATAATCAAGCACAGCCAAGAGAGCAGAGTTTATTTTGGCCAAGACAGAGAAGCAGTTCCTCTTTCTGAAATAAAAACCCAGTTTCAGCTTCAGCCCTTTCACAGAAACAAAGAAATCGTGTAACACTATACCTAGGTGTTTTTAAGATGTAACACGCTCTATGCTCTTGTTCTGAAGTGTAACAATAGTCAGGAGATTTGAAAGCTTCAACTTGGCTTTTGTGAGTAACATTTTAATCAGCATTCAAGATTAATTTTTATCCATAATGCCTTCCCAAGGAAATCCTAATCCTAATGTAAAGTTATGCTCCTTTAATTCTGATATCTTCTATTTTGCAGCAGATTTAGAAGCAAATCAAAGTCTTTCTTGGGTAGGACAATTAGTTTAGTTTAGTTTAGTTTATTTACTTTATTTATCCAAAAATTAAATCCATAAATTCAACGTTTTCACTCTTGCTTGTCAATTACACACAGGTCCAAAAGACAAACAGGACCTATACATGCACAAAGTGGAGAGATGTCAGAGTGAGGGGGCTGCCCTTGGTCAGGCGCCCCGAGCGGTTGGGGGGGTTCGGTGCCTTGCTCAAGGGCACCTCGGCAGTGCCCAGGAAGTGAACTGGCCCCTCTCCAGCCACCAGTCCACGCTCCATATTTTTGGTCCAGACAGGGACGCGAACAGGCAACCCTCCGGTTCCCAACCCAAGTCCCTATGGACTGAGCCACTGCCGCCCCACCAGGAGATTCATTTACAGTCCCATTCATCAAATTGAAGCAAAATATCTCATAATTTGCATTACTACTTGATGATGATGATGATGATGATTATTATTATTATTGTTGTCATTATTATTGCATGGAATTCCTCCAAGTCATAGTAATATATTTAATTCCAGCTGTTACAACAATGTATTTGAGAAGGATGTGATAATATACATGTTATTACATCTGTATTAATCAATTATGATCAGTGGCCACTAGAGGGCAGAAAAACAAAGCAAACAAAATTAAGTTCCCACAATGGAGCCATTCCATCAACTTACCATGTAACCCCTTGACATTACATCAGCATTAACTGTAACATCAACAGTACTTCTGCATGATCAAAACACTGATTGCTGCAGCTTTAAATGCTTATGACAACAAGAGCAATCATACACATTTTAAATAATAACAGTTGTTTACTGAAAATGAATAGAAATAAATAAATGAATAAATAACACAAAGGAAGAATGCTTTATTAATTTAATATCCCAAAGTGTATCCACTTCAAACTCCTCCTCATCACCTTTAAAGCCCTCCACAACCTGGCCCATCCCTACCGGTCTGAGGTCCTTCACCAGCACACTCCCTTCCACACTCTCAGGTCTGCTGATGCCAACCTCTTGTCCCTCACACTAGGACTAACCACTGCACCTGGGGGGACACAACTTTCTCCGCTGCTGTTTCAACCTCTGGAACTCAAGGCAAGGCAAGGCAAGGCAAGTTTATTTGTAGAGCACAATTCGTACACAAAGTAATTCAAAGTGCTTTACAGAACAAGAAAATGCATTAAAATCACACTGTACTGCAGCTGTCTTACGGCCCGTTTGGAGAGGCCAATGAGCAGGCCGTTACAGTAGTCTAACCTACTAGAGACAAATGCATGGATAAGTCTCTCCAAGTCAGGTTTAGACACTATACCTTTGATTTTGGCAATGTTTTTTAGATGGTAAAAAGCTGCTGATATTATTGATTTGATGTGGCTGTTAAAGTTCAAGTCTGAGTCCATTATTACCCTGAGATTTCTAACCTGATTTGTAGGTTTTAGAGAGAGAGACTGGAGGTGACTGCTGACACTTTCTCTTTTTTTCTGTGGACCAAATATGATGACTTCAGTCTTGTCTGAATTTAGCTGGAGAAAGTTGTTTTGCATCCACACACTGACCTGTTGGATGCAGTGACAGAGTGAATCCACTGGTCCATATTCACTTGCTGTCAGTGAGACATAGATCTGAGTGTCGTCTGCATAATTGTGGTAGGACACATTATTACTTTGTATTAACTGGCCTGGGCGGTACGGTGGTGTGGTGGTTAGCACTGTTGCCTCACAGCAAGAGGGTTGCCGGTTCGATCCTGGGTGTGGGAGCCTTTCTGTGCGGAGTTTGCATGTTCTCCCCGTGTCAGCGTGGGTTCTCTCCGGGCACTCCAGCTTCCTCCCACAGTCCAAAGACATGCACATTGGGGACTAGGTTAATTGATAACTCTAAATTGGTGTGAATGTGAGTGTGAATGGTTGTTTGTCTCTATGTGTCAGCCCTGCGATAGTCTGGCGACCTGTCCAGGGTGTACCCTGCCTCTCGCCCAATGTCAGCTGGGATAGGCTCCAGCCCCCCCGCGACCCTCAAGAGGATGAAGCGGTTAGAAGATGAATGAATGAATGAATTAACTGGCCTAAAGGCATGTAGAGATTGAACAGAAGGGGTCCCAGGATTGACCCTTGGGGCACCCCACAGGTCAAGGCCATGTGGTCTGAGACACAGTTACCAATTTCAACAAAGTACTTCCTGTCTTCTAGATAGGACTTCATCCAATTTAGGGCAGTGCCAGAGATGCCCACCCAGTCCTCTAGTCTCTGTGAAAGGATCTCATGATCGACAGTGTCAAAAGCAGCACTCAGATCTAGCAGGACTAAAACTGAGACTTTGCCTGCGTCAGTGTTCAGGCACTCCCTATAGACAACATTGTCTCCCTTCTTATGGATTATTTAATCTTTGCATTTTTTCACTCTGTTGTAGCCGACACACACGCGCACACACACACACACACACACACATACACATATACATATATATATAGTGTGTGTGTGTGTATGTACACTGATATTCCACACCTGTGAGGTGGGATGGATTATCTCGGCAAAGGAGAAGTGCTCACTAACACAGATTTTAGACAGAATTGTGAACAATATTCGTGAGAAATGGTTTTTTGTGTATAGAGAAAATGTTTTAGATCTTTGAGTTCAGCTCATGAAAAATGGGAGCAAAAACAAAAGTGTTGTGTTTATATTTTTGTTCAGTGTACATACATACACACACACACACACACACACACACACAGATTCAAACCTCTGCCAGAAATGCATTGCATGTCAATATAATGTGTATTTTTAACAAAGTTGACAAGTTCACAAGCTTGCAGTCCATTCAGATTGGACCTGCAACCCACTTTTGGACCACCACTCACCAGTTGGGAACCACTGCATTACACAATAGTTTACATACATCATCATCATCATCATCATTATAACTATAAGCTGTCTCCACACTAAATTAAACGCTGTTCAGTTTCAATAATGTATCAATTCAAAACACATTTTTATTACAGATTTTAGAACAAAAGACTTTAGAGAGCAAATTCATTTGATGAGTGACACAACTTTTACATGACACAACTATAACATTTGCGATAGAGACCACGTGACTGGAGGATTCCACCTGAACACAGTTATTTCCAGTCTCCTAAGCAGTTCTCCATCCTCTGGCTCCTGCCCCAGCTTACGTTTCTGCTTAACTTTCCTGACCACTTCTGCATATCTTTATCCCTCACAACTAATGCATACTCTTATGGCAAGCCGTTTTAACATTTAATCACTAAGTCCGACTATCCGGAATTACCATTATAGATATCTATAACGTCATTTTGACTAGTAGTAATGTCATTGTCACTAGTATGAATTTTAATTTAAGATATCTGTAACGTCATTCTGACTAGTCAAAACTGAATTACAGATATCTATGATGTCATTCTGACTAGTCAAAACTACAGTTACAGATATCTGTAATTCAGTTTTGACTAGTAAGATTCAAACTATTTTTGCCATTCATGTGTATGGGGTTTGTCATTATAGATATCTACAATTACATTATGACTATCTATAATTCCAGTTTGAGATATCTACAACGTCATTTTGACTAGTCATAATTCAGTTGTGGATATCCATAACGTCATTTTGACTAGTCATAATTCAGTTACAGATATCTACAACGTCATTCTGACTATCTGAAACTCAATTCAAGATATCTAGAAAGGACCATATAGATATCTTCAATTGATGATAATTAAAGATATCTTGAACTTGAATTATGACTAGTCAAAATTAAATTGTAGATATCTCAAACTGGAATTACAGATATCCACAATTCAGTTGCAGATATCCGCAATAACAATTGCA